TCTTCTTCTTCTTCTTCTTCTTCTTCTTCTTCTTCTTCTTCTTCTTCTTCTTCTTCTTCTTCTTCTTCTTCTTCTTCTTCTTCTCTTCTCTGGACCCTTCCAGATGCCTCTGGCTGCACAATAATGCCTTCCTCCCTAGTCATGGAATGACCATTTTGGTAGTTTCTTTACTGTACCCCTTGTATGCACTGATCTCCTTTAAAGTGAAAAAGCAAACCACAATACTTCCAACATCCAATTGCATACTTGTTACAGCTCTGCTCTGGCTGTGTGTGTGTGGAGGGGGGTGTTCCCCAGGAAAAGCCTTGCAGCTCTGCTGGGAAAGGTGTCCTGGCAGTCAGGAGCCAAGGAACACCACAGGGTCACGCCACACAATAGACCTCGCACACGAGCTGTATTGGGAGGGAAAACTCAGGAGGGTGGCTGCCTCTGCCAGGGGGAGAAGCATCAGGGAAGGGGGCAGAACACGGCGTTTGTGTGGGGTTTCTTGGAGGGAGCAGAGCTTGCCAGGGCGGCCTGGGATTGAGGGATTATATGGCCTGATCGTGGGGCAAGCTCCAGGACTGGTGCATTCTGTGGCCTGACCTAAACTTGAAGCTCAGAGATTGGTGGTTTTTTTTTTTTTTTGCCCTGGTCGCCTGTTTGGGGTCATGGTGTTTTGTTTTTTTTTTTTTTTTCCCTTGGCCCTGGTGTCAGGGTCAAGACAGCATCAGTGTGTGTGTTCTTTCCCTTGGCCCTGATCTTCCAGGTCAAGTCAGAGTCAGGGTCAGGGTGTTCTTGTCTTGCTCCTTTTACCTCACACTTCCAACATACAGAATATACGTTACCATTATAAAAGGGAGGAAGCTCAGCATAGTGAGGAAACACTGGTTCACAGCAAGACTGATGCTCCACAGGGTAAACCCCAATTTCTGTAGCCCCCATGCAGGATGTCAGAGGGCTTCGATGGCTCAGCACTTCCGGCTTTGATGCTGAAGTACACGGCACTCTCTTGGGCTGGTTCCACTCCCTGTGTGCAGCTCTCCTCGGCAGATGTCTCGCGACTGGCATCTTCGACATCATAGGTCTCAAACACAATGCAGGATTCATTTTCACAGCTTTATGCAGTGACCTCTCAGGGTCTCCATTCAGGGACACCTGGCCACACACCTGGCCTCTGTAGCTCTCCTTAAGAGCAAAGGAAGATTCCACTGTTGTTGTAGTAGTGTCTGTGTGTATGTAAGCTTCACAGGGTGGAGGCTTAGCTAAGTGGGGTCTTGCCCTGAGCTGGAGTTAAAGAAGACCTTATAGGGTAAAAAGGCAAAGGAAAAACAGCATGGCCCTGACATGACCCCAAGCATGGGATCAGGGACAAGAAAAGAAAAGAAAACAAAACAAAAAACAACACCACGTGGCACCAATCCTTGAGCATGAAAACCCACCAATCTGTGAGCTTCCAGATCAGGTCACTGTTTATTGTGGCTCTCTTTATCAGCTTTTCAGAGAGAGTGTCGGGGTGGTGGTGGTCCTGTGCACTGGGCATTCAGATGCTCATTTTTGTGCTTGGAGATCTGCTTGCAGTCTGGAAGTGGACATTGTCATTTCTCTAAAGAATCTCCTATATCAATGTTGTGTAAAGGATGCTCCCCAATTACCTGTGATTGGTTAAGAAGCTGATTAGCCAACAGTTGGGCAGGGGGAACAGGAGGCGAGACTTCCATTCTGAGACAAGGGGGTCTCAGGTAGGGACAGGAGGAGGAGGAGGGTGAGGAGGTTGCCGTGAGAAGGATGCCATGAGGAGCAGCCAGGGAAGCCAGATGGAAAGTAGCATGGGGCACATGGCTGGGAGGTAGCCAGACTAGCATAACTGGGTTAGAATAGATGAATGTCTAGTTACAGTACTTAAAAGCTTGTTGAATAAACCTATAGGTCTCTGTGATTTGGGAGCTAGGGCAGGTAGAATAGGCCTCTACTATTACCCTAATACAGAGGAGAGAGCTGATGATCCTTGGTTGTCTTCTTATCCTCAAGAGAGTGAATCCAATAAGTAAAGGGGGTACCAGCTGCCTAGCAGATGCTGGAGTGTTCCCGAGGATCGTGTGTTAAAGGCTTAGTCCCCGGTGCAGTGCTAGTGGGAGACTGTCTGAGAGGTGGGGCCTAGTGGGAGAGTGTCCAGCCACTGGGAGCCTGTCCTTTCTTTTCTTTGACTCCAGGTCATGAAGGGAGCCTCTTTTGCTGCTCCAGCACAGGCTTCATCAGACAACAGCTGATCATGGGCTGAAGCCTCTGAACGTAATTAAATGTTCTTATCTACTGACCACACCGGGTGTATGGTTTAGTCAGTCACGGAGGCCGAGTAACTCCGTGGGCTTTGCACTCCACCCTGGCTAACTTGGGAGCTTTGTGTTGGGGAAGGACTGGCATTATTTTGTTGTTTTAGTATATAACTTAAAAAATTATCATAGAGCTGACCAAATTTTTTAGATTAAGCTAATCTTCCCTGGAAAGTGAAACCAAACCAAGGCCTTGTGGGAACTCAGAAGTAAAAACATCTGTGTATTTCTTTTCTAATTAATAAGAAAATTGTCACAAAAAATTTTGTTTCATAGGCTGGCTCTTTGATCACCTCCTGAGGGGGGAGCAGCCTTACCAGTCCATAGAGGAAGACAAAGAAGCCAGTCTGATGAGATATGATAGACTAGGGTCAGATGGAAGAGGATGAGGACTTTCCCTGTCATTGGACTGGGGGAGAGGTATAGGAGAAGAAGGAGGGAGGGAGAGTGGGATTGGGAGGGATGGGAGAGGGGCTACAGCTGGGATACAAAGTGAATAACTTGTAATTAATTAAAAAATTAAAAAATTATATTCAGTCAAAAAAATTTGTTTAAAGGTAAAAACCCAAAAGTTACCTTTTATAATAAAATTGTGTCCCCAGGTACTCTCAGCACACATCTTAAATCTTAGGCATTTATTTCATAAACGCTTGTGCGGCAGGATCCCCAGACAGAGCTAGAACTGGTTCCTGATCCTCACTCACCGTGAGGACGCAGCAGCAGAAGATGTGCGTGCGGGAGAGGGGGCACGCTCACAGCAGGAGAATCAAACTGACGTGTTCGGAAATCATGATACAGTCAAGAGAGAAAAGCATTCTCAAAAGCAGAGCTTCTGGGCTCTGGGGTGCTCAGTGATAGAGTACTTGCCTACATGTGCTGAGGCCCTTGGGTTCTGTCCCCGGCACTCCCCCAAATTTGGACAGCCATTTATTCATTCATTTGTTCATTCTTCCCTCCCCCCACCCCAGTGCTGAACATCAAACAAGGGCCTGGTGCACATTAGGCAAATATACTGCTCCTTTCTTGACCTGCAGTACAAGGGGCGGGACGGCAGCGTGACCAAGGACGGCTTACTGGCAGCCTTTCTACCCACAGCTGAGAGAGACGCTTCTGTACCAATGAGAGCTCACATCCATGCCCGGGACATGGCACACAGTTGCCACCAGTCCACAGATCAGTGATAATCCTTTCTTAGCCACGGTCACTGGAAACTCGCACTACAATTCCTGCTACGAGGACAGCAACAGAAACAGCCAGAGCCATCCCTCGGTAGATGACCAGCTGCCTTCCTGTCAAGACCTCCCCGACAGTGGGCACTGCATACGGGCTGTTTTCTTGTACTACCAGCTGGCCGGTCGGGTTCTCTGGCCTGATGATATCAGGCAAAATCACTCCATCAACAACTTCTCTTTCCAAGATGGGCAGATCTGTTTGAAGAGAGCAGTGGGACAGTCATGTTGTCACTGTGGTATCAAAAGATGACCCTCAGGCGTGTGAGATTACATGAAGAACATTGAACAGGAGAGCTCAGAGTTGGTTTGACAAATTATGGTGGAGACAAGTTTAATTGTCACCAAAGCAGGAGCTCATAACCTCAACCCCTCTGGTCAAACTGAGTTTCGGACTTTATAAAACTGTGAAGAGAGCAGCTCTTTACCTGCTGGGGTGGGTGTTGTCTCCTTGTTGCTTTTTAACCCAGCTCGGACTTGTGCCTAAAAATGAGGCTACATGAGTAAACAAAGTAGAAACCAAGCCAAGCGGTAGCTCTTTGCTAACACTTCAATTTAAAGCAGTGCTGAAAGTCTGTAATATCAGAGACAGCCTTCTGTGGCCATGAAAACATCATGTGACATGCTAAGCAATGATAGTGCCAGAAAGTGGCTGATTGCCCGCCCAATGCTCTGCTGGCAGCATCAATGGAAAATCTGGAGGTTTAACACGCTGGCACTTATGCCTTTACGGTCTCCAAACATGAATAAAGGGACCAAAATCTAAAGGTAAAATGACACCACCAGCTAAAAGCCAGTTTACTGACAAGGGAGTACGAAGTTTTCCCCCAAGACTTATGTATGTATACAGGTTGGTTTTGCCAGCCATGTGCATGCAGTGCCCGTGAAGCCCAAATGAGGGCACTGGAGTCCCCTGGAACTGGAGTTACAGTGAGCAACTGACTATGTGGGTGCTGGAAACCAAAGGAAAAGAAGTCAGTTCTCTTAACCACTGAGCCATCTTTCTAGCCAGTATTTCCAGTCAATATTCTGTATAATCTATTCCCTCAACAAATCAACATGGATTTAAGAAATATAATACATCTCCATTAGGCAAAGCCAAAGGGATCAGAAAATTAAAGGGTGATGCCCAGGACTCCTAACTCACCTCCTGCCTCTTTAAGAGTCTTGGGCACTCGCCCTTCTTAGGTTAGGCCTCACGACAGTGAGATGGCCCCTCAGCCTCGACTCACACATTCATATGAGCCACCACCCTGACACAACTGTCCCAGTATCACAAATACTTAGCACATTATTTCTTTGTAAGAACAGACCAATTTTTTTTTTTTTTTAGTTAAAGCCTTAAAAAGCTAATCAGCATAAACAGGAAACTATTTTACAGAAACAAAAGTATTTTGAGGCCATTTCCTGTTTTCTTTTTTGAATCCTGTGGTCAGAAGACACCAGTCATCTCTAAATAAGAGAAACCATTTTTCTGTCTCCCTCCAGCCCTCCCACAGTTAATTGGTTCCCATGTGCTGTTTGTCTCGAAACTGATGGGGTTTTATCATCACTTCACCCTGGAAGATGACTTGTTGACCACAGATTGGGGACTGATGTATTTTAGAGTGGCGCGGAGCCTGTTACCTGCTCTGCTGCTCTGCTCCAGTTTGTCCTCATGATGTAGATTAGGTAGGAGAGGGCTTGGAAGAAGACACAGACTATCAGTCCAGCCCAGAGGCCTGTGGGCACAAAATGAGCATCAGAGGTCAAGTCTCTTCCCATGATCATTGAAATTCTTTCTCAATAACTCATATCAGTGGAGCAAAACTTCAGTTGGATTAACTTCTCAAAAGTCTTGGGTAAACATGGAACAGAGAAGACTGAAGCCTGCCACTGAGCTATTAGAGACCTGGAAGGGGCAGATGATGAGCAAGGAAACACTCTGGAAATTGAGAGAGTGGGAGGGTGTGGCCGGCACACTCTGGCCATTGATGAAAACCTGCAGTGGAGTAGGAATGAGTAGTCAGGTGTCTTCTGAGCCGCAGACCTGAGGGGTGAGGACCCAGCCTAGGAAAGGTCCAGGGCAGCAGTAAGGCTGAGGCAGGAGGAGTCTGCTACAGCAAGGTGCCATCTTGGGAGCCCCTGGAGCTGAGAGGCCAAGTAGGAAATGACAAGGTAGGAGACCATGGAGGCCATGCAAGCCACAGAAGACGCTAGGGGTTACTGTGTATCTGTGGTAACAGGAATCCAGGAGAGAGTTTCAGACTGGCATCCATTTGGATGGGTGTGAGACCCAGTATTTGCAAAAGCTTGCTTTGAAGTCAGGCATGGTGGCCTCTGGCTACAATTCCAGCATTCAGGAGACTGAAGCAGGAGGATAAAGGGTCAAGGATATCGTGGGATTCATAGTTAGTTCCAAGCCAGTCTGGGATACAGAGTAAAATTGTCAAAAGGGGGGAAGGGGGAAGGAGATGAGGGGAGGGAGGAAAGAAGTGGCTTGCTTGGAAGACATTCCTCTAACTGTTACATGGAAAATATGGAGACTCAGGAAATGCAGAGAGGGCTCAGGGTTGAGACCACCTCCCGCTCTTGCAGAAGATGGGGGTTTGGTTCCCAGTGCTCACATGGTGGCTCACGGCTCTCTAGAACTCCAGTTCCAAGAGATCCAGTGCTTCCTTCTGACATTCACAGGCACTGCACATACATACACTCAGGCACACACATATTAAACAAATAAATCTTTAAAAAATGTTGAGGCTCTAAGAGAGCTCCATAAAAAATATGTACGAGAAGAAGCTATTTCTTCAAATTTCATGTGTAACGGTGTTTTGCCTGAACGTATGTATATGCAGCATGGGTGTGCAGTGCCCCAGGAGGACAGAAGAGGGTGCTAAATCCCTCTAGAACTGGAGTCATAGCTACTTGTAAACTGCCATTTGGGTGCCGGGAGCCAGACCAAGGTTTTAAGAATAACAACTGTGGGCTGGAGAGATGACTCAGAGGTTCAGAGCACTGGCTGCTCTTCCAGAGGTCCTGAGTTCAATTCCCAGCAACCACATGGTGGCTCACAGCCATCTATAGTGAGATCTGGTGCCCTCTTCTGGCGTGCAGGCATTCATGCCAGCAAATACTGTTTACATAATAAATAATAGACTAGCAATTGATAGTCTATCGTGCAAAATATTAACTGATAACCTCTATTAACTATTAACCTCTGAGCCACCTCTCCAGCCCAGAGGAAACTATTTTTAGTCACTTGAAACTCCTCACTTCCTCATCAGCAGTCACTGCAGAGGAAGCGGTGCAGCTGGGATGCGCTGTGAGTCGGCACTTAGTCTCCTGATTGATTCGTCAGCAGTTTGCTGAGACCTGAGCCTCACGTTTACTCCTCCAAACACATTGGGCAGAAGCTGGAGTGATCCTTACAGATGAGACGGAGATGGGAAAACAGTGTATCCCCTTGGATGTCCCGAGTCCATTCCTAAGAACGGATCCTAAATTGAGGTTCAGGAGCGTGCCTATGTGTCGGTGCTCCCCACCCTGTGTTTTGTAAACAGGAGCCGTTCAAATGCCAGCTCCCAGAGCGGCAGCAGAGAGGTAGCACATAGCGCATCTCCTCTGCCAGCTATCATTTCAAGTCTTGAGAAGAAATGGGGGAGAACACGATTTGTTGCATGATAAACTGTGCTGATCGGACACAGACTGGGGGGAGTGATTTCCATATACATGAGGCAGTCATGAAGTTCTCTAATCAGACTTTTGAAAACAGCTCTGAGGGTGTAGCCCAGGACAGCATGCCTGGTAGGAATCCCCAGCTCCAACTGCGCTATTTTAATATGAAATAAAATTTATTGTTACTAAAAATGTATAGCAAATAAAAATATGAATATATATATACAAAACACATATACAACTTTTAAATTACTTTGCAGAATTCTACAGATTTTAAACCTCAATAAAACATTTCTTTTTTAAAAAGATGTATGTATGTATGAATGTATTCAGTGTTCTGCCTGCAGGCCAGAAGAGGGCACCAGATCTCATTACAGATGGTTATGAACCACGGTATAGTTGCTGGGAACTGAACTCAGGACATCTGGAGAGCAGCCAGTGTTCTCCAGCCCTCAATAAAACATTTCTAAGAATCATATTGTTTATTCATGTTGGCACAATAAAAGTCCAAAGAGAAACTGAGTGCCCTCAGAAGCATAAGCTTCATTAAGATCCCAGGTTAAAACAGCTGCGTGGAAGAATTCTACAAAATGCTTACAAACAACAGGTCATTCTTATCTTATTTGACTTGCACTGGGGCATACAAAAAATTGAGCTGATTTTATGAAGTAACCATTGTATGTGAGAAATATTGCTAATATCCTCACTAACAAGTGCTGAGAGCGTGTCAGCTGTAGAACACTCACCCAGCTCAAGGTCATGGGCGCAAGCGTGCACAGCCAATAAAAATGCACATGAAATAAAGTCACATAAAATAGTAACATAAAAGTCTATCAGTTCAATTAATGTATCATAAACAAGATGATAGGAGGAAGACAATATCCCTCACCTTCACATTTGATCTAAGGCTAAAAATTACAGAACTGTTTTCAAAAGCACCAAATTTGTCAAATCCTCAGAAACTTTTGTTAAAAACATTTAACAAAGGGGAGGAAGACCTCCCCCATCAGTGGGCTGGTTGAGTGGTATAGGTGGGACAGAGGGAAGGCGGGTGGGTTTGGGAGGGGAGGAGGAAGGGAGCTACAGGTGGGATACAAAGTGAATAAATTGTAATTAATAAAAAAGAAAAGAAAAAAATATAAAAACATTCAACGAAACAGTCATTTCTTTTAAATTTTAACTTATTATTTGTATGTACGATTATATACGGTTGTGTGTCCATGATTGTATGTGATTATGAGTATATATAAAATTGTATACATATGACTTGTCTATTTATGATTATGTATGAATAGCAGTGTGTATATGATTGTGTGCATGTATGATTGTATGATCACGTATGTATAGGATTGTGTGTTATGAGTGTGATGTGAATATATGTGTGTATGATTTGGTATATGTATGTGTTTATGATTGTGTGTGTATGTAACTATGTATGGGGGTACAATGTGTGTGTAAGAGTGTGCCATTAGGCCAGAGGACAACTTTTAGGAGTTGATTTTCTCCTTTCACAATAGATTCCAGGGACAGAACAAAGTCATAAGTTCATAGCAATCGCTTTTACCCACTAATCTACCTCACCAGCCCTCCATAGATACTTTTTTTTTTTTTTTGGAAAGGGTTTCTCTGTGTAGCCCTGGCTGTTCTGGATTCACTTTGTAGACCAGGCTCATCTCAAACTTATAGAAATCTGCCTGCCTCTGCCTCCCAGAGTGCTGGGATTACAGGCTCATAGCCACTTCTTAAACACGATTTAAAACCATACGCACACATGCACATTACAGCCCCAATCCACCGTGCCCTCTAGTGGGGAAGCACTAGGAGCATCATGAAGTCTCGAGAACCAGGCCTTCCAGTCACCACCAGGGCTCACTCCTGCTGCAGCAGAGGCAGGAGTGCCTCCTTTCCCACAGAACAACTTTCCAGCCAGGTGCTTTCCACCTCGAGTGACTTCATTTACTGCAACAGTAAGAGCTGGGGTGCACCGCTAAGGAATCGGACACATACCTATTATCCCAAGTTTAGCAGCAAACATCAGAGACACGCCGATGGGAAAGCCAAACCCGTAGTAACCAATGGCGTTCAGGACAGCACCGATCTTTTGCTTTCCTGTTCCTCTCAGGACCCCGCCACAGGTGCCCTGCAGGGAGGAAACCAATGGCAGCGTGGCAGTCAGGCACGGCTACCCACGCCCAGTTCAGAATACAGTGCTCCTGTCCCACAGAGCATGCTGTCCCAAAGCAGACGTCACAGATGAAATGAAGGAAAATGGCTAAGAAGAGGGGCCCAGAAGGTCATGTCAACTTGACACAAGCTAGAATCAGCTAGAAGAGAGAACCCCCACAGAGGAAGCACATCTGCGGGGCATTTTCTTAATCAATGACTGAGGTGGGAGGGACCAGCCCACCGTGGGTGGGGCCAACCCCAGGCAGTCGGTCCTGGGTTGTGAGAGAGCAGGGCCGTGGGGAGCAGGGGAGCAAGCAGCATACTTACAGCAAGTGCGTCGAACAGATGGAAGGGAGCGAAAATGGGCATCACCTGACTCACAAGGGAAATGATGTCCCTGTCACAGGAGGGGGACAGCAGTGAGTGACTTACACACATCCGGGGCAGCTAGATGGCTCAGCTGGTGAAGGTACTGAGACTGATGACCTGTGTCGCCCCCGCCCCCCAGGGGGCTCACATGGTAACGAGATAATCGATTCCCCTGTCGCCTGCTGGCCTCTTCACATGTGCTATAGCACGTGCAAATGCGCACACACACCATACTTTTTAAATTGTAAGCCTAACAACTCAGTGCACACATTACATTGTGTAAAAAATGAAGTATATAATAAAACCATGCTAATTCAAATTGTACTAATATATAAAGTTTCTGATGCAACAGAGGACTTTTTTTTAATTCTTTTACAAATAATTGTTTATTTTGATGCAGAGTTGCACTAAGTTGTGCAAGCTGGCCTTGACCTTGTGATAACTTTCTGGATAACTGCAATTACAGGTCTGTGCCACCAGGCCAGGTGATGATAATGCGCCACTTCATTCTTATACGTTACAGAAAACACAATAAAAGTATAGGACCGAGTCTGTGATTTCTGCAAATCACTGCCTCAGATGAAGGCGTAGCCACCAGAGACCGCCCTGGCCCATGACGTGCCTTCTGGGGATGAGACTAACCCCAGGGATTATTTTTTTTTCTGTTTGTCAGAGCAAAACTCCGCTCAGACCTGACGGATGGCGGGGGCACTGGAAGGATGGGGTGGATTGGCATGGACTTGCATCATTCAAACTTGTTCGCCCCTGTGCCTGCCTCTGCTTCCTGGCTGGGCTACAGGCTTTCCTGGGAGACAAAGGGCAGTGCCTCCTCGGTCTGAAGAATGCAGGGGGGAAAGCAGAGAAGCAAAGACGGGTTCTCGACGGCTACCTACTTGTCATTGGTGAATATGTAGGCAACCACGTCCTTCAAGGCTGCAAGCAGAATTCCCACCAGGAGCGCACAGACACCTGGGAAACACAGAAGATATCACAGGGAACAATAGATCTCCGGAATGTGACAAAGCTTCTTAAGGGAGAGTTATTCCCAAGGGAGAATTATTTCTCTCAAGGGAGAGAAACGTTAAGAATGCAGCTGGGCTCGGGGACACCTGCAGCCCCAGCTGTGTGGGAAGTTGAGGCAGAAGGATTGCTTAACCTTGTGACCTAGCATTCAAAACCAAACTGGGCAACATGGTGAAACCCTGTCTCAAAATCAGTGTTATGGTGTAAATAATAATTTTTTTTTTAATGTCTGTGAAAATGTCAACTAAAATGTGCTGTCCCTTATTCCCTCTAAGGGCATCTGTTACCCAGAGTTGGATCCTTGGGAACATGAGGATTACATTTTGAATGTTTTTGTCCCTCCAATGCTCAGGGTGAAATTTCATTCCCAACACAAAAGCAAGGTGACTGAATCAAGAGGAGCCTGCTGCCAGGAGTGGAAGGTGTTTTCTAAAGGGGTTGCCTGAGGACTTTGCCCCCCCTCCCCTCCACTTCCTTCTCTTCTACCACATGAGTTCACACAGCTCCTCCCTTCAAGACAATATGATATCAAGCAGATCATGGAAGGTGAGAGCAGACGTCACCAGACCTGGTGGTACCTTGGTCTTGGGCTCTCCAGCCCTAAAAGCTGTGAGAACTAACCTTTGTTCTTAACAAATGTATTTATCTAGATATTCTGTTGAGGAGGCACAACGGGACTCAGACATCACCCTAAAGTCAGTACAGCCCTAAGGGAGATTACTCACCAGCACAAAGAAGAACAGTAGAACAGGAACGCCGGGCCTGCTCGGCATTCCCCGCCCCCAGAGCATTGCCCACTCGGACACTGGCCGCCACACCAAAGCCAAAGGGCACCTTGGGAATTAGCAATCATAAGTCATAGTAAAAAGGTAACAATCATAATAACAATAATAAGAAAACCTGCATGTTAATGCAGTTGGACCCAGCTACCTGGAGCCTTCAGACAGACTTCACAATCTAGGCTCCAGAGAGGGTTCTTACTCCATCCGAGCTGTGTAACTCCGCTGCCTCGAAACCAGATTTCTTCACTAGTAAAGATCCACCCCCCCCTCCCACCATAGCGCCTCAGTCCAAGCAGGCCAGAGCAGAGCTGGGTATGGCGGGGGGGGGGGGGTGTCATGGGTGGGGCTCCCTTTATTGGTGAAGCAGACACCAACGCGGCTGTAACTTAGTTTTAAATACATTCTGCAAGGTCAGGTTTAAGTTAGTACACGGTGGGTAAACAAGTCCTAAAAACTGAGCAGACGTTGTGAAAAAGCACTTAGGACTTTTACTGTGGGACCCATGAAGGTTGGTGAAATCTGTAATGTCAGCAGCTGAGACAGAACCATCAGCCTGATGAGACCCAGAGGCAGCCTCAGGCCAGGCCTGTGAGGAATGATCTTGATTAGACTGAAGTGAGATCCACCCACTGGGGGGGGGGGGGGGGGCACCATTCCTTAGCCTGGGTTCCTGGACTGCACGAAGAGGAGGGGCTACGGGCTGAGCGCAGTGGCGCACGCCTTCTACTGCCCAGCGGTCGAGGCAGGCGGGCAGGTGCCTGGGAGTTCGAAGCCAACCTGGTCTACATTAAAAGTTCCAGGCCAGCCCAGGCAATGTAAGACCTGTCTCAGGAAGAAATAAATGAAGGGAGGGGGAGAGGGTGGGAGAACGGGGGGGGGGGGGGGGGAGAGGGGGAGGAAGGAAGGAAGAGAAGCTGAACACACGCATTCATCACTTTATAGCTCCCCACTGTACTGTCGCCTGCTGCCTCAGACTCCTGCATGACTTCCCTGCATGATGGACTGCAACCTGAAACTGTAGCCCAAATAAATCCTTTCTCCTGGAGGTTGCTTTTTTTTTGGGGGGGGGGGGGGGAAGGAGTATTCCATCACTGCAGCAGGAACGGGAGTCAACTGGAACGCTGTCTTCAAGCACCAAGGTTTGATCTTAATTGCTGATTATGGAACCCCCAAGCTCTGTTTCCGTGCTTCTAAAACAGACTATCGGCCAATCTTTAGTGTCATCCTCAGATCCTGAGTTATCTTCCCACAACCCATGGTGGCCCTTGAGCTCTGTGGGTAGCACTGGCTGCGCAGTCAGCCTTCATTTGGGCTTCATCTGCTTTGATAATTTACACACCAGATTTCGGTCTCTGCAGGAAGCACCGTCTCCCCACAGCTGTCTGGTTTCTTAGAGTTTGAAAACTCACTTGAGTTGATAAATTATATCTAAAGAATATTAGATGAGGGATGCTTGCTGGTCTCTTTCTCTTTGCAACTCCCCCAGCCAAGGAGCACCCCAACACAGAGCCTCCGTCCAGGTTCTGCAGTCGGCTGCCAGCCCTGGGCTCCCCAGGCTAGCTGCTCTCATCCCGTGAGGCTCAGCTTGAGCCAGGGGCAGAAAAACACAGCTGACTACCCTATTTAAAAGGCTTTACGCATCCCAGACCTTGTTGGGCTTCTCATTAGCTTGGCATACACAGGTGAGACTCTGAGATACCCTTTCTTTTGTCCTTTTCTCTGTCTCCTGACCCAGCCATAGGCCAGAGGAGGATGGGAGCTGATCCCTCTCACTCACAACCAAGTCTCAGCCACAATTCCACACTAGTTAACCAGATACGCCAGGCATCCTGCTGTCTGACGCACAGGGCCTCATTTAGCCTTCACTTGCAATGGGTAGCTACATTTCCCTCTCGTGTGTGTGCACAAAAAAAAAAAAAAAAAAAAATTCAAGCACAAAAAAGTTAGGTGAGGCACTCATGCTCACAACGGAAATATGGTCAGGACCCAACTCTCCCTTCCTCCCTTCTCCCCACCTCTGTTAAATGTGGTGAGACCTGCCCATCGGATTTATACAAAGAAGGTACAAATGTCAAGCATGTCCTTACCATGTAGGCGACAGAAGCCAGTTCGTAAATGACAGCCTGAGCTCCTAGTTCTGTGACATTAACAAGGCCTGAAACAGCAATTCAGAGAACACAAGTCAATTGTGGACCAGAGGAACCATTTTCCTTATGAAACTAGGACGCATATATATTTATACATAGGGATGTGTGTGTGTGTGTGTGTGTGTGTGTGTGTGTATGGTGTGTGGTGTGTGTATGTATATACGGTATGTGTGTGTGGGGGGTGTGTGTGTGTGTATGTGGTATGTGTATGGTGTATGTGTATGTAGGGTGTATGCTGTATGGTATGTGTGTGTGTGGTGTGTGCATGATGTGTGTGTGTTCTGTGTATGTGTATATGGTGTGTGTGTGTGTGTGTGTGCTGCAACTGTGCTATGTCGCTTCCATTTCTAGGAAGCCTCTGGCCTGTGACTGCCCAGGCTGTGTGCAGTTCCCTCAGGTGCAGACAGACCTGCAAGGAAGGTCCCAATCTCAAAGGTCCACCACTCGATGCACACCATGAACATACTGGGGATGGCCAGGCGGATGTAGGAGTTCCACTCCTGGAAGCACTCCCTTGTCCATCCTGGAGAACAGGCGAGAAAGCAGACATGCATCCTTTAACAGCCACCGCCTCTCCCCCAGAGCCGGAGACACCGGTTCCCAGCAGGACACGGGTGTCAGGGAAGACCACAGCTAGAGAGGGAAGGGACCAGACCGGCACCGTGAGCGCCCGTCCCCAAAACCCGATCTATAAACCAGCACCCACGGGGAGCTATCAGCTGGCCCTCAGGCTGACTGTCAACGGCACCCCTGACCCACAGCAAGGATAGCAGAAATCCCAAAGACCCACAGATACAGAGAAGTAGAAACTGTAATGAATTGTTCCTAGGGACAGAAAAAAGAAGATTCCTCTAGAAGTCAGTCATGGAGTCACCGAGCGCGTCAGCAATCTCGCCTCTGTGTACAGAACAAAATGTTAAACGGGCTTTAGGGTCAAAGAGCGCTTTGTATGTCCCTTCACAGTAGCACTGCACAGCAGCCCAAGGGTGTTAGATAGTTTTATGTCAGCTTGACACAAGCTAAAGTCTTCTGGGAGGAGGGAACCTCAATCAAGAGAATGCATCCATGAGATCAGGTTGTAGGCAAGCCCTACAGCATTTTTTTTTTACTTATTTATTTTATTCTTATCTCATAAATTACTTCCTAATCTTAGTTCCCCTCTTTCCACTCCTCCCAGTCCACCCCACCTCCCCTCTAACCTAGATCCACTCCTCTTTGTTTTCCTTTAAAAAAAAAAAAAAAAGCAACCCCCATTGGGTGGATACCAACTGAACACAGCATAACAAGTTACAGTAAGACCAGGATGGACCAGGAAACCCAGTAGCAGGAGAAGAGTCTCAAGAGCAGGCAAGAGAGTCAGGGACACCCCCCTCACTACCACTGTTAGTGGGTCCCACAAGAACACCAAGCTACACAACCATAATGAACATACAGAAGACCTAGTTTGGACCAATGCAAACTAGGTCCGTGATTGTCCCTTCAGTCTCTGTGAGCCCCTGTGAGCCCTATTTAGTTGATTCTGCAGGCTGTGTGTGTTCTTGTGGTTTCCTCAACCACTCTGGCTCCACAATCCTTCATTCCCCTCTTCTGAAGGGTTCCCTAGCTCTGCCTAATGTTTGACTGTGGGTCTCTGCATCTGCTCCCATCAGTTGCTGGGTGATGTGTCTCTGATGACGATTGGGCTACGCACTGATCTGTGATTACAGCAGAATATCATTAGGAATCATTTCACTGTCTTTTTTTTTCTCTTTTCCAGTTGTGTTTGGTTCTATCCTGGAGCTTTGGACTGTCTAGCCTCTGCCATCCAGGAAGTTCATCCTGAATGAGGTAATCCAGACCCAGACAGACAAACATGGTATATGCTCACTTATAAGTGAACATTAGCTGCTAAGTAAAGAATAATCATGCTGCAATCCAAGACCCAGAGAAGCTTAGTAACAAGGAGAGTTCAAGGTGGATGGGGGAGGGTGTGTCTGGGTGGGGATGTGGATACAGGAATAGGAGGGATCAGATGGGGGGAGTACTGGGAGAGAACTCTGGAATTGGTGGGCATTTTGGGGTGATGTAGGAACAATGGAAATTTCCTGGAATCTATGACAGTGACTCTAGCAAAGACTCCTAGTAACAGAGAGTATGGAGTCTGAACCAACTATCTTCTGTAACCAGGCAAGGCTTCCAGCAATGTGGCTAGGACAGCAACCCAGCCACAAAACCTTCTACTTACAATCTGTCCTGCCTGCAAAATGTGCTGGGGTAATGGTGGGGCAGAGCTTGCGATTTTGGCCAGCCAATGACTGGTCCAACTTGAGGCCCATGCCATTAGAGGGAGGCCTCTACTACGGCATAGTCTTAATTAGTGATCAGTGGGGGAGGGCCCAGCCCACTGTGGGTGGGGCCATCCCTGGGCAGGTGGTCCTGGGTTCTATGAGAAAGCAGGCTGAGGAAGCCATGGGGAGCAAGCCAGTAAGGAGCACTCCTCCATGGCCTCTGCATCAGCTCCTGCTTCCAGGATCCTGCCTTGCTTGAGTTCCTGTCCTGACTTTCTTTGATGATGAACAGTGATATGAAAGCATAAGCCAAATAAATCCTTTCTTCCCCAAGTTGCTTTGGTCACGGTGTTTCATCACAGCCAAGTTACTAACTAATATAAAGACTAACCATATAAGGAAGCTCCAAGTCTGAGAGACCCTGTATCAAAAGAATAAGATGCAAGAGTGATTGAGGAAGATTCTCAGCATCAACCTTGACTTCCACAAACACACATTGTGCCAAAGCATATCTGAACACACACACACACACACACACACACACGGAAAAAAGAAAAACATAAAAGACACACACAAAAAAAATCTATTCAATAAAGTTATAGTAGAAAATGTCTTCAATGTGAGCAAAGAGACAGCCATTCAAGAGCAAGATACATTTAGAACCCCAAACAAATATACCTGAGAAGAATCTTTCCACAACATTCTACAGTGGAATTGCTGAGACTATAAAATAAAGAAATATTAAAATGTGTAAGAAAAAAGACACCTTGAAAAGGCAATACCACCAGAATAACATCTGACCTCCCCACAAAAGTCAGGAAAATATACAGTGATTTTACACACACACACACACACACACACACACACACACACACGGAGAGAGAGTGCGAGAAAGAGATAAAAAGAGAGATCCATGAGCAAGTAACTACCAGCCAAGGAAGATATATATATATATATATTCTTTTAAAAGATATATCTTTTTGTAATATATATTACATATATACATATATAATATATCACATACATTACACATATTACATATATATTACAAAAAGAAGAAAAGAATAAAATGGCCAACTCTACCAGAAAAATTATAGGAATCAGAAAAACCCTCTGAACATTAACCTTGAGTGTGAATGGTCTTTCAAAACCAATGAAGTGGAGCTGAGGACATAGCTCAGTTAATAGAGTACTTGCCTAGCATGCAAGATTCAGTCCCCAGAACCACAGAAACTAGATATTGTGGCACCTGTCTATGATCCCAGTAATCAGGAGGTGGAGGGAGGCAGGAGAATCAGAAAATCAAGGTCATCCTCTGCTACACAGCAAGGCTTCCTAAGATACATAAGACTCTCTGTTTAAAAAAGGAAGGGAGGGAGGGAGGGAGGGAGGGAGGGAGGGAGGAAGGAAGGAAGGAAGGAAGGAAGGAAGGAAGGAAGGAAGGAAAGAAGGAAGGATGGTATTTTAAAGGAATCACAAACTAAAGCAATTCATGGCCACCTACGAACACTGCAGAAAATACTTAAAGGAATCCTACACACAAAAGAGAAAGAAAGGCAATTATAATCATGACACAACAACAACAAAATAATCAGTTTATGATGAACAAAGAATGGGGAAATAATCACGTTCCATTCAAAAAGGCAACCAGCCAGATCATGTAAAAGGAGAAAAGAATAAAATAAATAGCCAACTCTTCCAAGAAGAAAAAAATATAAGAATCAGCAAAACCCTCTGGGCTATAACCCTGAGTTAATGATCTTGACTCTTCAGTTAAAAGATATGGAGTATCTGATTGGACTAAAAACAACACTTAATTGCTTGTTATCCACAAGAGGCACTCCTCACTGGTAAAGATCCACTCACTGAACTTGAAGGCTGGAAGTCAATACACCAACCAAACGGAAGCTGAAGCAGACTTAAGCAGAAACAGGATAAAGAAGGCACCAAAGGCTGCCAATGGGACAATCCATTAAGAGCACGTGATAAGCCGTGTGCACTTAGCACTGGGGCCCCAATTACATAAACAAACTCCATACAGCACAGCGATTACGTGGCAGTCTAGATTCGATAATTCCGGGTGATTGCAATACGTTTCTCTCACAAATAGGGAGACCATCTAGACAAACCAAACAAACCACCACAAGAGAAACTTGAGCATTAAATCATACTGTAGATCTCCTGGTATTAACAGTTATGGAATACAGAGTCTTGTCAACTGAGCATGAAGCTTTCTCTAATGCAGATCACGTTTCTTGCCATAGAAACAGTCTTATCAGATAAAGCAAAACACCTTCTTGCCTACCATCAGATTACAATGGAAACAAACTAAAAGTCAATACCAAGAGAAACAACAGAAAGTATATAGAGACCTGGAGATTGAACGGCATGTCACTGAAGACTGATGACAAATAAACAGAAGATCTCCATGTTCTTGGACTTGAAGAATCAAGACTGTCAAAATGTCCATGTACTGGCTGGTTTTGTGTCGACTAGAGCCATCATAAAGGAAGGAGCCTCAGCTGAGGAAATGCCTCCATGAGACCTGACTGTAAGACATTTTCTCAATTAGTGATCAATGGGGGGGCTCAGCCCATTGTGGGTGGGGCAAACCCTGGGCTGGTGGGCCTGGGTTCTATGAGAAAACAGGCTGAGCAAGCCGTGGAGAACAAACCAGCAAGCAGTACCCCTCATGGCCTCTGCTTCAGCTCCTGTCTCCAGGTTCCTGCCCTGTTTGAGCTCCTGTCCTGACTTCCTGTGGTGATGAACAGCAATGTGGAAGTGTTAAGCTGAGTAAACTCTTTCCTCCTCAACTTGCTTTTTGGTCATGGTGTTTTGTTGAAGCAATAAAAACCCTAAGACAGTCCACAGTACCCAGCATTATCTAACAGTCACTGTCAAAATTCCTATACCATTTGTCTCTCTCTCTCTCTCTCACACACACACACACACACAAAGGTTAGAGAAACACAATGCTGAAGAACCAAAACAATCTTGAAAAATGACAGATGGAAGCATCCTGACTTCAAACCATATTTCAAAGCTATAATGCAAACTGTATGCTACCACCACAAACACAGCATATACAGTCAAGTTATCTCCAAAAGTTCTGAGGGCATAAAACGAGGAAAGGGTGGTCTTTTCAATAGCAGTGGTGACAATACTGGATCTCTGCATGCAAAGAACAAACTGAAGGGGATCATTTTAGATAAGATTTTAAAATTTAGATTTAAAAAATGTAAAGATTATGCCATACACAAAAATAAACTCAATATGGATTCAAGACCTAGTATGACCTTAAAAATCATAGGGGAAGAGGCTATGGTACTGGGATTGGCAGTGATTTTTTTGCCTATGCCACCAAAGAATAGGCAACGTTGGAAAAAGTAGCCAGAGAGAACAACATGAAACTGAAATAAAAGGGCAACCCACAGAATGGAAGGAAAATCTACAAACCATGTATCCAATAAGGGATTTAAATCAAGATACATAACTTAATGCAACTCAATAACAGAAAGGGGGGACAAAGGACTCAGTTAGACATTTCTGAAAAGAAATCATCGAAACAGTCAGCTGGTGTCTTGTAATGTGCTCTGCAGATGGGTATGAATCAATCAATCAAGTGCTTGCCCCACAAGATTTCAGATCCCCAGGGCCCATGTAGGAGTGGCAGTGTTCAGAAATCCCAACACGGGGGCGGGTGAGGGAAAGACCTGGGCTTGCTGGCCAGCCAGTGCAGCCTAGCTGGGGAGCTCTAGGTTCGGGAGGCATGATCTCAAACAATAAGATGGAAGGCAACTGATGAAGACACTGGAGGTCACACTCTGACCTCCACTTGCACACACACACACACACACACACACACACGCACACAGGTACACACATGCACACTCGTGCACACGCGACAGCGCAGGCGTAATCGTCAGGGAAGTTCTAATGAGAGCCGCGTCTCAGAGCTGTTCAATGAGGAGAGAGCGGGTTACTAAAAAGAAGGAATCCAATAGTTTGTGACAACATGGATGAAAGGAGGGTGCACCTGCTCGGGGAGACAAGACAGGATGCAGACAAGGCTGCGTGATCTCTCCATGCGGAGTCTGTGAAAGTGCGACTCGGGCAAAGAGCTGGTTCCCGAGGATCAGGTGGTGGAGGGACCCGTGGGATGAGCCAGTCATGCGACAGGAACTCTGGGCACCTAACGAACAGCAGGAGGAACTCTGTATCCACCACATACCTCAAGCCGTATCTGTCAAAGTGTTCTATGAACAAAGGGCTATTTTGGTAGCCACACAAACACAAAATCACACGCTCTCCCTAGCAACTTTTCTATTTTCAGTAACAAACATTTTCTATATTTTGAGGTTTTCTAAAAGATAAACAAACAAAAAACCAAACAACATCCATGGGACAAAACGACTCAAAGGGCAGAGCTGTGTCTGGGAACCCCCAGCGTGCGGTCCACATACCTCCCCAGGTGTGGGTGTGGATTCCTTTCCACCACACGTAGAGGAAAAGCAGGGCGGACAGGAAGAACTGCGAGGTGGTGTTGGCCCAGGCCGACCCTCTGCGGGAGAAAAGGCCATGGTTAGTTTGGGTGCGTCCTCCCAAACACGAACCAGCAGAACACCGCCCCCAGAAGCCCATGCTTGGCGCGGTGAGCTTGCAGTGCCCGTGTATGTCTGTGCTATCTTCCTCTGTGTTCTGGCTGGATCCATGTGTGACATATTCATCTGTCTCCGTGGAGATGAGTCTGCTGTCCGTCAGTGTGACACTGGAGGGCCTGAAGCTCTATTGCCTTCCTGGAATCTACCATCCTTCAACAATGCCCAACTAAGCATTTCTTAGTTGATGACTAGTAACGGGCTGGCACGGCCAACTTCTCTATTGGAGCGCTCATCCGAGCCCTGGTTTTATTATAGAGGATTTGAGCAGGTTTTGTTCTCCATAGAATGTAACACTGGGCTTCGTCAGTCCCTTCTCACCACAGGGACATGCTGGGCCAGCTCAGCGCCTTCCTGTTGACTTTTCCATCTCATGTTCCTATCGGGGCTTCACGTTTTATTGTTTATTAATCCGTCCCTGTATTTTCTCCTCCTTTTTCCATATCCCAAACTCTCCTGGGAAACTCCACTATTCTGACTCTGAGGTGGCCCTCATAGGGAAGATGGGCCTCTGTGATACCAAGTCGATCCACTGGTCTGTGATGGGCTCCCTCTATGCTCTGACCAAGGCCTAGGTGATGGCTGTTCTCGGTTGTCAACTTGACCAAATTAAATGACATCTAGGAACAGTTAAAAAGAAAACAAAACTGGGAGGGAGCTATAGGGGATGATACAGGGGAGATACAAAGTGAATAAAGTGTAATTAATAAACATGAAAAAAACAAAGCTTAAAAAAAAGAAAAAACCCACTGGTGTGCCTCTGTGGGGCTTGTCTAAAGGTGGCCATAGGGGGCACTGACTGAGAAAGACTGTACCATCCAGCAAGCTGGTGGTCCAGACACAAAGAAGGAAGGAAGCATGCCCGTGTCTACAAGCGCCCTTTCCTCTTGGGGTAAAAGCACTCATAGATGCCACCATCGCCCACTGACATCAGACTACAGCTTTGTACGGGCTGGCTTTTGTCAATGTGACAAAAACCTAGACACCTCTGAGAAGGGGGACTCTTAAGTAAGAATATGCCTCCAAGGTTATCCTGAGAGCAAATGACAGACTTGAGGGCCCAGGTCACTGTGGTCAGTGCCAGCCCTGAGCAGGTGGTCCTGGGCAGGAGAAGAGAGTAGGCTGAGCAGGGGTAAGCAGCGCTCTTCAGAGCAAGGGAGTAGCAGCGTTCTCAAAGGCCTTTGCGTCAGCTCCACGGCCTTCGCTTCAGCTCCTGTCCTTGACTTCCTCCCATGATATGGTATGGAAGTGGAAGCAGAATACACCCTTTCATCCTCAAGTTGCTTTGGTCATGGCACCTTATCTCAGCAATAGAAACTCTGACTAAAACAGGCTTCCTCAGCCTTTCAGCCTGGACCTACCCCAGTGACTCCATAGAGAGCTCCAAAGCCCTCAGTGCCAGCTTGGAATGGCTCAGGCATCTAACATCTTGCCTCATTAGTGGATTTGGCCATTGTTAGACTACCCAGCTCCTATCCTGTAGGCCCATCAAGAATTCCCCTTTTGTCATGTATGTGTGTGTATGTGTGTATGTATGTATACATATATACAAACACATATATATACTCTTCTTCCAGGATACAGCCTCCATCTTTCTGCCATGAGGAAGACAGTATGGGAGCCAAGCCTTGTGCACGCTACGCAAGCTCTGTACTGCTGTGTTCATCCTACCCATTCCTACTCTCTGATGGCTGTCACGGTTTTATTGATATTCAGAGCCCACATTAGCATGCGCATGGGAACCAAACAAACCACAACAAAGACATACAACAGTTGACATAACCCATTTTCTATTCTATTTCGTTCCCTTCTCCTTAATTGCTAACATACTAACTTCTTTGACTTATATTTTATTCTCCCCCTTTTTTTCTCCCCCCGGCACTCCCACGTGCCCATCCTCACCCTGCTCTCTTTCAAATTCATGGCCTCTTCTTTGTTATTTTGTATATGTATGTGTGTATGTGCTGGTATATGTGTGTATGTGTATCTATGTGTGTGTATTCAGTCATGACCCACTAACCAAAGACCACAGTGCCCTGAAGCACACCCAAATTGTGGGGTTCAGTCTTCATTTGCTGGTGTGATTTTCTTGCCACATATGCAGAGTCTAGCTCTGGGCTACAGTGAGGAAGGACCATCAGGACACTACTGCGATACCCCTAACTTCTTTCTTTCTTTCTTTCTTTCTTTCTTTCTTTCTTTCTTTCTTTCTTTCTTTCTTTCTTTCTCTTTCTTTCTTTCTTTCTTTCTTTCTTTTTTATGAGGTCTTCATCTCCTCAAGCTTCTAGAAGGAATTGGTCTCAGTAACTTAAAATTCAGAGGCCCTGGGCAAGCCCTTTAGGCCTCTGTCCACCCCTGCCTGTCACCCACCTCAGCCTCCAGAGGGCAGCAGCTTGCTTATTAACGCCAACACCTTTTCAACAACTGAAGCCTCCACAGTGCTTCCTCCAACTCTTGTCTGTCTGTCTGTCTCTCCGCCTAATCTCCACCCTCCCTCTCCCAGCAGCAGCCACTAGCTGCTCCCCTGTAGGCCCTTGTGGCCAGCTCTTACCTGCCGCGCAGAGCACCAGAGCTAGGACTGCTAGGTGCCTGCTTACCTGGCCTCGGTCCCTGCTTCTCTCCAATATCCCCAGCCCCAGGGCACACAGCAAGCAGTCTTGTTGGGTGAACGGGTTTCGACTTACACCACTCCGAGGTCCAAGGCATACAGCAAGAAGGCATTCATGCCCACGTTGATAATATTTGCCGCGATCCCAACAATAACTTGGGGCATAATGATGCCCTAAAATTCCCAAACAGATAGGAAAACGTTACCATTTTCAAAAGCTAGTTAGCTAGGTTGCCAAGTAAAACTCATGGGTAGCAGTGGTAAAGCCATATAAGGCTGGTAGAAAAGCTGGGAAGGATGTAGTTTCTCACCCAGCCATGCAGGAGACTGTGGTGGCCATTTCCAAAGCCTTGTTTGTTCATCACAACATCAGGGAAAAAGAGGGAGCGGGTTGAGGAAGAACACATGGGCTTTGGGGGTGTCGGGGCCCAGAGCCCGCCGCTCCTTAGGGCTGTGCTGAGGATCTTCTCACATGCACAGTACCCAGAAATGCTTGCTTCGAAGCAAGCGTGGAGAAAAATGCCCAGCCCTTTGTTTAACAGTGTGCGATGTTCTTTCTGAGCAAGGTCTCACTATGTAACCCTGGCTACTCTTTATACACACCAGTCTGTCCTTGACTCACAGAGTGTCTAGCATTGTAATTAAAGGTGTGCATCCATTGTGCCGGCCAACACTCGGTCCTAGTGTAGTGCTGTCTACATTTCACTAGTCCTCAAAGACACACTGTCTTCACATTAAACCAAACAGAACTGACTACTTGTTAAAGCCAAGCAACTTCCTCTGGCTTAGGGACAAGGCCTTTATGCTTAAAGGCTAGCAAGCTGTCTGTAGGTGGCCTGGGCTCAGCTTCTGCTCACACACTTCTCCCTCCCCTCCTCCTTCAGCTTCCCTCTGCCATGCGTGCAGCACGCACTGTCCTACCCCTCTTCTAAGTGTAGCTGTCTTAACTCTAGACCCTCCCTGTCAGTATAAAAAATGGGGCCAGGTCCCCAGGCCTGATGCAAAGCCAGCAGCCAGCCCCAAGTGTAGGGAAGGGTTAGAAGCGAAGGCTTCAGAGAGAAATAGGGAAGACTAAGATGAACCAGACAGAAGAATCCAAAGGATGGCTATCTCTCCTGTACGCACAACCATAGGGCCTCATGTTTCCAAAGTGTGTGAGTGTCACAGAAATGAATTGCAGAGAAACAAGGAACAAATTATTACAGGAAATTCCTTTAAAACATTTACCCTACATTTCCCATAGAATGTGCAGTAAAAATACAAAAGAATACCTGACTCTGTAGATACCGTGTCTGCAGCTGGAAGAGGAACGCTGCCTGGAGGGTTAAACAGAGAAACACAAGCACTTACTTAGCCTCGGTTTTTGTTGTTGTTTGTGCATTTCTGTGGATCAAATCCAGGGCTTTGTGCTCAGTAAATGTCTGCTGTGGAGCTATGCCCCAGCTCCACTTCTTTTGAATACTAATTTTATAAATTAGCGGGTTTCGTTATAACATTTTCATACATGTCAAGTTCTCAAGTTTGAAGTTTTTATTAAGTTTTTGGCCTATAGGCTGGCCAAAAGGGGGGGGAGCTTTATTTGGCCTTACACACACACACACACACACACACACACACACACACACACACGTTCCCCTTCCTCCTATGGCTTCACCTTCTGTTTTGATGACATGGACGCCACCATCCTGTCTTGCTGAACCCCCCTCTCTATAGACACCTTCCTCCCCTCCCATAGTTCCCTTTCCACTTTTGTGTCCCAAACACATAGACATTTATATATGTAAATATATATAGACACATACATGTATATATGCATACATATATACATCCACACAGATATTTAAACCTACATTTTGTATAAGAGAGAAAAGATGCAATATTTGTTTCTCTGAGTCTGATTTACCACACTTAACACAATGGTCTCCAGTTCTATTTATTTTCTTTTTTGTATTTATTTTTACTGTTGTGTGTATATGTGTATGCATGCGCCATAGCACACGAGGAGGTCGGAGAACGACTGGGCCGGAGTTGGTTCTCTTCCACCGTGTGAGTTCCTGGGGACTGAACTCAGAACATGTTTAGCAGAAGTGCCCGTCTCGCTGGCTCCAAAATTTCATTTTTCTTAACATTTTTCTTCATTTTTCTTCCACGAAATTCCACTGTGTGCATGTTTACCTTTTTATCCAGCCATCTGTTGATGGCCATCCAGGCTAGTTCCATATCGTGGCAGCCATGAAACACAGATATGCAAGCATGTCTATAGCATGCAGATGTCCTTTAGTTACCTAGCCACAAGGGTACAGTGCGATCATGGAGTAAATATATTTTTAGCTTTTTTGAGGAACTTCTACACTGGTCTCCATGGTGACCAAACCAGTTTACACTCCCACATCCTGACCAGCACTTGTTGCCACAAGTTTCTTGATAAGATCTCATCTCACTGGGCTCACATGGATGCCAAGGCCGCTAAAGACATCGACTACTTTTTCAAATATTTATCGGACAGTTTCATTTTCTCCTTTATTTAATGCATTAACCTGTTTTGGTTCAGGGGATATTTGAATGTTGGTGTTCCTTGTATATTCTAAATATTTATCCCACATGGGATGTAAAATTGGCAAGGATTTGGTCCTCTCCTAATGACTATTTCCTTTGCTTTGCAGATGCTTTTTCAGTCCATGCCGTCCTGTTTGTTAAGTTGGGGATCATTTCCTATGCTGTTGTCTGCCTTCTTGGAGAGCCCTTACCTGAGCCTGGCTTGCCAGGTTTTCTCAGGAACTCTCAGTTTCCCAATATACTTGAGATCTGTGCTCTATCTTCAACTGATTTCAGTGCTGGGTGAGAGATTGGGACCTACCTTGAATCTTCTAGCTGCCACCTTCCTCAGACTTCACAGCTCTCTCCAGCATGTGTTCTGACACCTTGTCAAGGACTGGATGGCTCTGTGGGAAGTCACTTCAGGGTCCCCTCTGCTATCATCTGTTCCATTCTGTTTTTTAGGATACTTCCTTTCTGATTGTGTGACATCAAAATCCAGAAAACCAGATCCATCCTAAACAAATGCCAGGATCAGTCGGTTGAAAGATTTACTTCCCAGAGAGCAGAAAAGAGCAAATTCTAAGTGGCAAAAGCCCAGCTTCAACTGTCTGAATGTCTGAAGCATCCTGTCGACTGTCTGAAGCATTCTGCTGATGGGACCAAAAGGAGCCATGGAATCCCACTGTCTGTGACATTACATTCAGAAAGCTGAGCATTTGGGGGGCTAGCCTGGGCTACATAGCAAGACAGGAAGAATAAGAAAAAGGAGGAGGAGGAGAAAAAGAAGAAGAAGAGGCACCATGGAATAAGGAACCAGGAACAGCACTGTAATGAATAAGAGGTGTTGGAAGACAGAAATCTTGACACTTGAGCTGCTTCAAGATAGAAGCAGTGGCCTGCAGCCTCCAAACTGCAGATGCACAGGAGCCAGGCCAGCCCCCAGAAGGCAGGGAGCTCAGTCCCAGAGCCCCGGTGCAAGGGCCTGAGGGTAAGCATGACCCTCAGGGATATGTGTGCATGGATCCGTGCACCAGGCTCCCCAAAATCCAAGTAGCCTTGACCCAGCGCCTGGGCTAAGAACAACCAGCTGAGCGTCCTCGCTGGCCACCTGCTCTGTTTCCCAGTGAGACTTAGGTATGGGTTCAGCATAAGTGTGATCATTTCTCTGACCAGTCGCTGCCTCACACTGGGAGTGTCCAAGGATCTGGACTCGGGATCTGGCCAGCTTGGTCGACTCATGACCCCAAGTCCGGTGAGCCAGTCCTGAGCATAGCCAAGTCCTGGCCCTCTGCAGCCTCTGAAGGCCAGAAGAACAGGCCTCGTCTTCATTCTGCAATTTACTTGCTTGCTTTCCTTTTTTATTTTATATTCATGTGTTCCAGATTTGGCCTTCTCTCACTTTTAGCTCTCAGATGTTCATCCCACAGGCATTTTCTCCATTTTCTTTCTTGGTTTTTCTCCTTTAAATTTTTCTTTTTTTTTTTTTTTTCTCCCCCCCCTCCATTTTTGCTTTTCCATGTCTTTATATTGAAGTCTTTGTGTTGATCAATGTTAATAGCAATGATTGTCTATGAAAAAAAAAAAAAAAAAACAGACCTCTCCATAAACAAGAACCTGACAAGGTCTTAAAGAATTAGAATATGCCAAACCCAAATCAGCAGAAGAAATAAAACAACAAAGATCAGAGCTGAGACTAATAAAGGGGAGATGGAAAGAACAGAGAGAGTAAATAAAATAGTTATATAAGAAAATAGACAAGATTTATGAGCTTTAGCTGAACTAACCAAAAGAGAGAAAGAAGACTCAAAGCAATGAAATGAGAGGTGAAAGGGGGGTCATTGGGACAAACTTTAAAAATTACATTCCAACAAACTGGAAGACCTAGAAGAAATGAGTAAGTTTCTTGACACACATGAGCTACCAAAACTGAATCAAGAAGGTACAAACATCCAGTCATCAGCAATGAGACTTAAATGGCTTCCCCAGCAAAACAGAATGTCAAGGACCAAAGGGATTCCATACCGGAGTCTATCCTCAAACTGTCCCATAAAACAGAAGTGGAAAGGGCACTCGCAAAGTTATCCTACACAGCCAGGGAAGGGCACAGCAAACTACCGACCTCTTTCCTTGATAAACACAGATGCAACCAAACAAACAAAATACTTGCAATAACTCAATACCAAACTCAATGCCACATTACAAACAGCATTTTCCCTACAAGACAAGGTCTCTGTTCTCACTATTTTCAGTCAACATAGTGCTTGAAACCTTAGCCAGAGCAACAAGGCAAGAGAAAGGAGAAAAGAAAACAAGTAGAAAATTATCCCTATTTGCAGATGACACTGTCTTATACTTAAAGGATTCCAAAGCTCCACCAGAAAACTCTTAGGTTTGTTAAATAATGTCCACAAAGTAGAAGGACACAAGATCAGCACAGAAAAATCAATGACTTTCCTCCATGCCACCAGCATACTGACTAGAAAAGAAATCAACATCATCCCTTTTACAATGGCCTTGAATAATAAGTAAATGCCAAATAATAAACCTAACCAAGGAGGTGAAAGGCCTCCAGAATTAAACCACTGAAGAACAAACAGGAAGGAGACACTAAGATGGAAAGATCTCCTGTGTTCTTAGGTTGACAGGATCAACATTGGTAAGATGGCTTGTATCGTGCTCACCTATATATTCAGTGTAATCCCTATCAAAATCCCATTCTTCCCAGAAATCGAGTAATACCCCTAAAAGCACAAAGCACACAAAATATCCAAAGCAATCCTGAGCAAAAAGAGCAATGCTGGAGGAATCACAATACCAGACTACAAACTGCATTACAGAGCCATAGTGACAGAGATGGCAGATGCTGGCCGCAGACAGACACAAAAGATCAGTGGAGTGGAGAACACAGAGGTCAGCCCAAAAGATCAGTGGAGTGGAGAACACAGAGGTCAGCCCAAAAGGATGCTATCACCTAACTCCTGACAAATAAACCAGAAACTGGACCACAGAACTATAAAAGACTAAAAGTCAATCTCTCTCTCTCTCTTTCTCTCTCCTGCCACCTCTCTGCATAAAAATCAACTCAAAATGGGTTAAAACCCTAAAATTCTGAAACACTTGGAAAGTACCTCAAGATAAAGGCAAAGGAAAGGACTTTCTGGAATAGGACCCCAAAATCCCAAGAAATAACAGGGGGAGTCAAATGGGATTGCATTAATTTAAAATGGCTTACATAGAGCAAAACAATAAAATAAAGAAGTGGCCCACTTTTTTATGGAATGGAAGAAAACATTTGCTGGCTACTACCTAACAGAAGATTAATATCCCAAACATAGAAAGATCTCAAAGAGGAAACACAATGAACAAACTGGGCAAAAGAATTGAATAGACAAATTTCAAACGAAGGGGGCCCACAAATACATAAAAAATGGCAGATGCCTTTAGCCATCAAAAGAATGCAAATCAGAACTGTGTTAAGATTCCACCTTAAACAAGTCAGGATAGTTTTCATCAGAAATACGACAATAAATTCCAGAAAGAACGCAGAGAGGAAGAACCTTTATGCACAATCCATGGAAAGGTAAATTAGTACAACCTCTCTGGAAACCAGTTTGGACACTCCTCAAAAATTTCAAAAACAGAACTACTTATAAGGACCTGGCTGCATCACCCAATACATACGAGCATTGTTACATTACTGCATTATTGCTATATTACCGCAGCACTAGTCGCAGTAGTCATGGTCCTGGTTGTTTTCCTGTTGCTGTGATAAAGTATTGTGTCAACAGCAATTTAAGATCTGACAAGATGTCTCAGTGGGTAAAGATGTTTGCCACTGGGCTTGACAACCTAAGTTCCGTTCCCTAGGACCCATATGGTGGAAGGAGAAAACTCATTCTCACGGGTAGTCTCCTGACCTCCACACGTGTGGCGGCATGAGCGTACAAGCATGCACACAAAATAAATAAAATGTAATTAGAGGCAACGTAAGGGTGAAGGGTTCACTTTGGCTCACAGTTCAAGGCACAGTCCGTCGCAGCAGGGATTCATGTGCAGCAGGAGCTTGAGGCAGCGTCGAGGCCACAATCCAGCAGAGAGAGATGAGTGCTTGTGATGAACTCCTCCCATTTGTGCAGCCTAAGAACCAAGCCTAGGGAATGATGCCGCCCATGGTGGTAGGGCCTTTCAAATCAACCTCACGGAGATAATCCCTCAAAGGCGTTCCTGAGGCTGGAGCAACTCAAAATCTTCTTAGGCTGACAGCTGACAGTAACCAGCACACGTTATGGAATTAGCTTTAGTGACCATCAGAGGACAAATGGATAAAGGAAGCTCGGCCTGCATAAGACAATGGAATGTTATCCTGTCATTAAGATTGAAACCATGTCTTCTTTAGGAAAATGGATGAACTTGTACACCTCATTTAAGTGAAAAGCCAGACTCAGAAAAACAATTACTACATATTTTTCTCTCATACATAGAACTGAGAAGGAGGATTAGAGCAGGGGAAGCTTCAAAGGCTCATAGGAGCCAGGGGAAGGTAGAAGAAGGAAAAAGAGGAAAATGGGTATGATCTAAGTGTACTATATACATGTATAAAAATGTGTCAGTGGAAATCATTAATATTATTATTATTATTTCTATGATCATATACTAATAAAGCTGTGAGACTTACAGGAAGAGCAGGGATGCAAATCATCACATAAACCTGGGCTAGCCTGGAACAACAAGACAGCTTTCAGCAACAGTGAAGTGGTTTCACTCCTACCTTCAGGTCAAGCTCAAGGCTATCTCCTAAAAGCTAAAACTGAACACCTATGTGGGAGACAGAGTCAGTCGGGTTTCTGCACTCTGCAACAGCAGCACCCAGAGGCTGCTAAGCAGTTACTTAAGTGGGGAGAAGTGGCAGCAGACATGTTCCAGTGGGGGGGCGGGGACGGGACACCCCTGACAGGAAAACATGCTCCAAGCTGAGCACAGCGCAATGCGGAAACCTTTGGGAAAGCATCAAGCCCAGGAGCAGAGACCCCCTAGAGTGTTAAGTTTAATAAAACCATCAACACGACAGTAATGACAACTGTGCGTTGGACTCCCATGGGGGAGAATTGTGGAGGGATGACGGACAGAGATCGCCCTGTGCATGCTACCTTGGCCCTCTGTCTGTCACTCTGGGGCCACGGCCACAGCTCCTGGTCCCAAGCGCTCACATCCAGCTGATCAGCTGAGAATGTCAGCCACTTACTGCCGGGGGTAGGAGGTGGGGGTACGGCCCTCTGAGCGGAGGCTCACCTGGCCACTTCCGGGTCCTGCCTTAACAGCAGGAGCAGGCGCTCTGTGTTGAGGAAGATGGCCCAGCAAGGGAAGCAGCAGAGCAGCAAGATGAGAATGCCCCTTTGGAGTATGACCCCCACGCGCTTCAGGTTCTTGCCTCCAAAGGACTTGGGAAAACAAAGTTTCAGTGAACATCAGAGCCAGGGCCTTGGGCTTCCAGCGAGCCCCCTACCCTGGCAGCCATAGTCCTGAGGGGTGGAGAGGGAGGGGGCATTGTCTGTGTTCTGGGGTTGTTCCCTGCTCTCAGGAACTGAGGCTATCCATGAGGAGCAGAGTGGAGCTTTGCAAAGGGGACAGACACAGCACCAGGGGTGGAGGAAGAAAGACACCCATTGTGCTGAGCTAGCCCAATAGTTAAGGATGGCTTTGCATTCACTTGGCAGTTTTATTGAAAAAGCCTTCAGGAGACGCAGCGAAGGCTAAGCCTAGCGGGATGGGCAGTGATAGAAAGGGCACTGATGGGGACTGAGTCCAGCGCAGGGGTCAGGACCTGGAGTGCAAAGAACACTCCATACAGGGGAGCTCAGAGCAAGGGACAAGGGAAGCACAGCCCCTGTGCAGGCCAGGCGGGGAGTCGGGGGGTGGGAGCTGGGGGACAGAACTGTCTGCTAAACACATTAGAAGCCATTGATCTGCCTGCACTCTGCACCAGGCCCAGACGACAGGCCCAGAGCAAACCCAACCAACAAAAGTCAAATCCCTTGGGCTAAATGACACATAAGCAGAAACTTGAAGGAGGCAAAAGGATCCCAGACAGACTGTTTTCCCCAAAAGTGGAGGTTCCAGCCCTAACAAGTCAGGCTAACAAACCCCTCGGCTTTAAACTGTTGCGGAAAGTTACCCAGAAGAGTCCGGTGCCACGCAAGTCATGTCTGCTTGCTTTCCTATTGTGCCCGTCCTTGTCTCCACCTCGCCAAGCCCACTCACTGCTGGCCCATTGCGTGCAGTGTCCCCCGGCATGAATAAAGCCCGCCGAGAATCACAGCTAAGCTAGCTGAGTGTTCATCACGTGATTTAGTCACTCTAACTGCTGCCCATGTGTAAAGGGGCCTCCAAACTGTAGTGCGTAGTTCCCTAGGCAGCTGTCAAGGACCCACGTGGGCAGCAAGGTTCTCACCTGAGACATCAGCGTGTCACAAGCCGAGGCTAAGCCAGTCCCTACTGAAATTCCAGTGACATTCACAACCTGCAAGAAAAACAAAAAACAAACAACAACAAAAAGAAAACAAAAAACAGGCCACGTGCAGCAGGCAGCATTGTTCAGAGCCAAAGAGCCTCCGCAGCTCATTTTGGTTTTTTGTTGTTTTTTATTTTTGTGTGTTAATTTGTTTTGTTTTGTTTGAGACAAGGTCTTACTATGTATCCCTGGCTGTCCTGGAACTCTCTAGGTAGATCAGGCTGGCCAAGAACTCACAGAAGTCTGCCTGCATCTGCCTCCTGAATGCTGGGATTAAAGGTTTTTGCCACTATGCCCAGCTCAGTAGCTCAGTTTCAAAGACCTTATGTGCACACAGGAATGCCCAGGCTCTGTGGTTCAGATGGCCGTATGGATCCTTAAAGATTATCAAACAAAAAAGCCACTCTAGGGCAACAGGGAAACAATAAAGCCTGAAGCCTACTTTTTTTTTTTTTTTTCCTTTGAAGACAGGGTTTCTCTGTGTAGCCCTGGCTCACTTGGAACTTGCTGTGTAGACCAGGCTGGCCTGGAACTCACAGAGATCTTCCTGCCTCTAACTTCCAAGAGCTAGGATTAAAGGTGTGGGCCAGCAAAGCCAGAAAGCCTAGGTTTCCTTAATACAACGTGAAAGAGCTTCCACATTAGAAAAGCAGAGCCAGGACTGCAGCGTGTCCGGTAGTCCCATCGACTCAAGACTGAGGTAAAAGAATCACTTGAGCCCAAGGAGCTCAAGACCAGTCTCAGTAACAGAGCCAAACCCCAATTTAAAAAGAAGAAAGAAAAGAAAGAAAGAAAGAAAGAAAGAGAGAGAGAGAGAGAAAGAAAGAAAGAAAGAAAGAAAGAAAAGAAAAGAAAAAGTAAAAAACAAACAAAAGGGTTTTGCTGCTGTCTGGAGGCCTTGTGCCTCACCTGCCAGGGGCTACACATTTAAAAGCAACAGCACTAGGGTGTGGCCCATGCACAATGCACAAAGAAAAATACCTATTAAGAAAAAAAAATCCAGGCTGGGCAGGGGTCTCTGTGGTAATCGTGCAAGCATGAGAACCCAGGAAACAGCTGCATACGTGTGCAGGTCCGGAACTTGATGGGGTGGGGGTGGGGTGCGAGCTCACTGACCCTGCAGCCCAGCTGGAATCCTGCTCCAGGTTTGGTAAGAGACTCTGCCTCAAAGAATGAAGGCAGAGAGGGAGAGAGCAGGACACTCTCCTCCTCTGGACTCAGAATGCGCGTGCAGGGGTGCTGAACCCACAAATGCACACAAACACAACTGACACCCAGGGTTTAGTGAGCATACACTGTGTGCAGGCTCTTCATGTCTATGACCTTACGACTGGGCCCTGTCCTCAGTCTCATGTACCAAGGGTTATAGCTGCCCATGTTAGGGCTAGCCTAAATGACAGAAAACTGTTGGCATTGCCTCAGTTACTTGGTGTGAGCTAGGCGGTCTGGCTGCACGCCTCGGATTTTAGGAGACTGGTGAAGAGCTGGCTTATGCCACTCTCTCAGGTAGACCTCATCACTCCCAGACCACCCGGAGATTAGCCCACAGGCTGAGGGGTGGGGCTAAGAGGGAAAGTGCAGTGCCCTTCTTCATCCTGGGTCTCACGTGTAGCAGCTTGATGTCGACTCCCAGTAAATTAGCTGCTTTACTTACGGAGATTCCGACCCAGTGTTTTGGCTAATCAAACGTGGTCTCCAAAGGTTTAAGTGCCGAAAGTCTGGTCTTTGGTATGGTGTAGCTGAGAGGTAGTGGGGCCTTCAAGAAGTGACATTTAGTGGAGGGTGACTGAGTTTCTGGGATGCCAGCCTCGGATGGGGCTAATATAGTTCTCACGGGGTCAGCAGGTAGAGTGCTTGCCTAGAATGCACAAAGCCAGCACCGAATACCCTGGGCCTGGTGACACCTGCCTGTAACCCCAGCCCCGGAAAGGTGGAGGCAGAAAAAGCCACGGCTCAGGGCTACTCTACCATGTAAGCTTGATGTCCGGCTGGGCTTCATGGGACTGTCTCAAAAAAACAAAGCTGTCACAGGACCTAAGGTGTTCCTGTGCGAACTGAATTGTGAGGAAAGCAAGCCAGGTGCCTGCATCCCCTTGCTTTCTGTCTCACTGTGTGTCTCTTTGCTCCTCTCACAAGCCACAATGCCGTCTGCGGGTGATGCTGTAGTTACAGGCCCCCACCAGCCCTCAGCAGAGGCTGTGCCATGCTCTTAAGTGTCCTGACGTCGGAGCTAAAGAAACCTTTTCCCTGTAAAGTGCTCAGCCTCCTGTACTTGGACCTGGAAATCTATACCTCCTAGCCTCAGGAGGTCAACAGCAGGCCACACGTGGGGTGCCCTGAAATTATCCCACCAGACACAAAACCTAGAGGGCCCATGATGGAAGGAACACGCTTGTGCATACCTTTAATCCCAGCACTCTGCAGGAGACTGCAAGAGGGTCTCTGCCTGCTACACAGAAAAACCATGTCTCAAAAAAAAGTTTTTATTTTTCAAGGCAGGGTTTCTCTGTGTAGCTTTGTCTGTCTTGGACTCACTTGTGGACCAGTCTGCTCTCACTCAGAGATCTGCTTGCCTGCCTTCGAGTGCTGGGAACCCGCTTTGTCTTTTTTTTTTTTTTTTTTTTTTTTTTTGTCACACATGAGAGTGTCTTTGTTCTGTTGCCTCTGGTTTTTTTGTTGTTTGTTTGTTGCTGTTGCTGTTCCTGTTGTAAACTAACTGCCTTTGGCTGGCTTAGAATTCTAGTCCCTGTCTCTAGCTCACGTTTGTTCGAGATTCTACCAGACTGAGTGTAGCTGGGAGCTCTCTCTTACCATGACAACATTACAAGAAAAGACAAACAAAGATGATTGAAGCCTGTCATTCCAACCGAGGCCAGAATACTGAGAATTTAAGACCAGCCTGAGCTTCTGAACCAGACCCTATTTCAAAAACAAAGTCTATAAAACTCAACACCTCTAACCGTGGTGCCATGGAGGCTGTTGTCTCTTCCCAGCAATTTGTTACAAGTTGAGATTCATTAAAAGCAACGCCTCTCCTTGACCCAGTTGTGAAGGGCTGACAGTGGCTCTCCCTGTCCTGGACCTTATCTGCAGAAAGCCCTGCCTGCAGAACATACCAGCCTTCCCACGTACCACCACCAAGCCTCCCACCTCACTGTGGGTCGCAATTACTTCTGTTGTTTCACATCGAAAACTCTAGAGGCGTAATCAGGGAAAGGGGGAAAAAATGTCAAAAATGGGGGTGGGGGATTATTTTGCCAATTCAATGCTAGGCATAAATATAAACTGAGACTCTTCACAGCCAGTTTCCCTCCACCATGCTGCTGAAGAAACCCTGCAGGCCTCCACTGTTGCCCAGGGCATTCCAACATCCTAGGGGGTAGAAGGGACATTTCCTGAAATAGGGGAGGACCCAGATGTCCCGTGTCTGAAAGTGCAGATCAAATGCGAGCGAAGCAGCTTTCCACCTCTTCAGTAGCAGACGGAGGACTTCCAAGGATGCGTGATTTCAAGCCATGAGGAAGAAAGACACTTCACAAGGGAAATAGAGCGATCTTAATGAACTGTGTCACTAACACCTTTCACGGTTTGGTTTTTAAGAGGAGGGGACACGCAGCTCGCATAGGGTGGCTGTGCACCCTGCGTCTGCTCGGGACACCCTTTCCATGCCTCCCGGGACGCAGTGCCCAAGAGTGGAACCTGCTCAGACCTCGCTCTCTCCCCAAATCTGAAAACCAACATGGTAGCTGTGGTATAGACGCAGACCCTGAAATTCTAACTCTGAGGCCTTGGGGCCGTTGGGTGTAGCGAGCACACACACGGCGCCGAGTCCGTCTCCCGCACTACAAGTAAAAGCACGTTAGGGCTTCACTCCCGAGGCTTTACCACACCAGCAGCAGCACAAGCAGTCAACACCTACGGAGACGGCCAGCGTCACGGCGTCCAGCTCCACTTTGCCCAGGTGTCCGCAGAAGATGGAACTGACGATGCTGACGAGAAAGATCATCAGCTGCGCCAGGAACTGCAAGGAGCGGAGAGGCGGTCACCCTGGGCCCGCCTGGGGCCGCCCCGCGCCCGCAGCCCCGGGGCCGACTCACCACCGGGCCCGCGAGCGCCGCCAGCGCCGCCGCCTCCCGCCGCACGTCGGGGGACAGCGCTCCCCGCAGGCCCCGCGGGGTCCAGCGGCCGCGCCCCTGCGGCTCCGGGGGCTGGACGGCGGCGCCCGGGCCGTCCTCGGCGGGCTCCATGGCACAGGTTCGGCTGCAGGCGCCACCGGCACGTGGAGCCGAGGGCGGGGCGGCCACGGCGGCGCGCAGGGAGCCGCGCAGGACCCGCCCCCGCGCGCCACCCCGCCCCGGGCGCCGCGTCCAGATCCAACCGTCGCCGGGCGCAGCACGCGGCACGAGCCTCGCTCTGGGTGGCCGGAAAGTGTCATCTTAGACGTCCAACAAGAATTAAGCTCCCGGGGGGTGGTTTGGGGGATCCCCACCAAACCCCGCTGTTGGAGGGCTGCTGGCATAGCTCAGTGCGGAATGCTTGCCTGCAGCGAACACCGAGTTCCAGCCCCAACTGTTGGGTTTCAGACCATACCAAAGTGGACCTGGCCTCCCAGGTTCTCCAGCATCCCTTGGTTCCCCTGCTTGCTGCCGTCGCTGGTATATCCCGCCCTCTACCTTGAACTTTTGCGCCCAGAGACAAGGGCTTCCCTTCATTATAGACGCCTTTGGTTCCTCCCCCTCTCTCTCCTCTCGCCCTTCTCTCTGTATCTTTCCTCCTTCTCTCTTCTTTCTCTCTGCGCCCCTTTTCTCTCTCTGACGTTTCAATCACCAACCACCAAAAGCAAACCAAATTGAACCAGTTTTTACCCACAGTAGCTAAATGTCCCAATTGTGTTCATTTTCTGTTCTTTGAAAGTTTGCTGAATTAGCCGTGTGTGCTTAACTCTTCAGAGGCTGAAAGAATTGGGCTTCGGCTTAATGCTTTGTCCTGTGGCCACCCCCGTGAACTGTCACTCATGTTTGGGTCTTCGAGACTTCATAGCTCCAGAGACCTCCCCTGCCCCCCCCCCCCCCCCGGAGATCTGAGCTCTCTCTAATGATTAATATGTTTGCTCACAGGATAATAATCTACAACCCAGAGATGTATCATAAAATGTATTTAATAGAATCACACAGGAAGAATATGGAAGCAGATCAGCTATAGGTTTGTGTCTTAGAAAACAGTAGCCAGAAGAAACAGGAAGTCCACACCTGAATGTGTCAGTACACAGTCCATGTGCCACAGTGGTGGATGATGAACGCTCGCTCCGCCATCATCCGCCCCACAGTGTCTTAAACCACAATGCGTTGTCTACCTTATTCTTTATTGGAAAAAAATATATTTTTGAATTCTCAGATCGTAAAACCTACAACCATGGTTGAACTCTGTTAGCTAAAATGGCCACAGCCAGCTCTAGGAATCACCTCTATTCTCAAAGTTGCACGTGGTCCCAGACTTACAGTAATTCACTTTCCAAGGGCTCAATTTTACATTGGTTGCAAACAGGCGTTCAGTAGAGACTATTTTTGAACTGGGAGCTTTTCCTGGGCTCACAACGTATGACACCATCCTTTGGAGACACGGGACAGTGGCAGCAAGTTACAGCCTCCTGGTGGCCCTGCAGTCCCAGGGGTGAAAAATCAACATTCTAGTTGGTACAGAGTTTCAAACAGTGGTATTTGGTAGGTTATGTCTATTGTATGCACTGTCCATTCACAGTGTACATTCTCTCTCTCTCTTTCTCGCATCTGTCTGTCAGTGTCTGTGTGTGTGTGTGTGTGTGTGTGTGTGTGTGTGTGTGTGTGTGAGAGAGAGAGAGAGAGAGAGAGAGCTCACTTGTAGGAAGGCCGCAGTGATAACCCTGGTCCTGACGTAATGTTTTTGATGTGTGGTGGATTTGTCAGGTGTCAACCTCACAAACTGACATCACTCAACTCTGATATAGACTCTCACTAAAATCCCCCCCACCAGGACTAAGACTACGCCTAGGAGCAGGAGCCCTCGCCGTAGTACTAGCTGTTTCCCAGAGAGTCTGTGGCTGTCCTTCGGGCAGACAGGCGAAGCTTGCTGCTGGTTCTGGTTCGTCTGCCGGTCCAACTGAGTCTCGTCTTTCTTTTCAAGATCCGTCATCATAATTTCTCCATGGCTCTCAGGACCCACTGTGGGGAAAAGGGACCTCAGTGAGCGGCTTAAAGGGATTTTTATTTTCATGTGCACAAATGGTGGTTATTATCTGTGATTATTGCTAGCAGAATGTTGATTCAAGAAACAGTTGTAACAATAAAGAAAAGAAAAGAAATCATTGCTAACTGTTAGGTAAGAGGTCTTGGGACTCTACACCTATCTTGCTCCTGGGGAAGGTGCTGCTGTCCCTTTAAATGACTATTAATATTCCTTCAAGTTGTTTTTTGTTTGTTTCAGACAAGGCACTGTAGAGAGAAGCATGACAAATCCATTAAAATTGCCAAGTCACACTGACCCACTCTTCTAGCTTACTTGCCATGAGCTTTGCCCACCACAGTCTCATTATACTGACACACTGTTGGGAAGTGCCTGTCCAGCATCTTGTCCACGCAAGGCATGATTTGTACATGTTCAGAAGTGTCCTCGCCCTGGCCTGTGCTAAGCTTCTCCCATGAATAGGCACAAGTGACTCCAATATAATCTTTTTACTTCCTTTGCTCCACGGGGTACTCATGAAGCACAAATGGGAGGATATTTTAATTTCATTTTGTAGTAAGAAATAGGGGCATTTTACAACTTATAACTCCCATTTCCCCCAGTCTATAGGAAGGAGTTGATGAGTACACACTATAAGCAGCTTACAGATATGCACGGCTAAAGCTTTGTTGGTTTGGAGTTAACTTTCAAACTAAATGCCATCCAAACGCTCAGGAGAAACGCAATCTTCAGTCACCGTGGCCAGCCCTCCCCTGCTGCAGAATCTCAGAAGGACAAGCACCTGGCCAGAGGGACAAGAGGAAACTCCGGAATCGTTGACTGCCTCTGTTCCCTGGTCTCTGTAAATATGCTAGTTTGGGGGGTTGATACGGAGCTACTATGTATTCAAATGTTAATTGTTTGCCCCACCACACACACTTACTGTATACAAAATCACCTTGTACGGACCTTGCCTCCCTGATTGTTCCTGATTGGCTAAATAAAAACTGCCGACAGCCTGGGCTTAGCAGAAGAGAGGTAGGTGGAGCCAAGGTTTGAGGGCTTGGAGATGGCAGAAGGACCATGAAGAGGAGAGAGGAAGAGGGAGAAAAGAGGAGGTCGCCATGGGCTACTGTGAACTCGATGCACGTGGCTGGGAGAGGCTTGTGTGGAGGATTGACATGATGGAAAGAAGCAGCCCAAATGGAAAACATGTGCAAGTACTTCCGGGGTTTTGGATGGGAAGTAGACAAGATAGCTTAGAGACCTAATAACTGCCCAGGCCCAGTGCACTAAGACTTATCAAAAAATCTAATAGGTTTTGTGTCTTTTATTTATATAATAGCAGGTTAAGGAGTAGCTGCTACCTTAATAATTATATGTATTAATATTAAATATTGATAATCATTCTACATGCTAGTAAGACAAGGAGAAGCTAGGCAGGGCCTCCCTCTGGCTTCCCAGATCCTCCAGCATGGTGATTCAAGCACAGTTTAACAATGCAATTCCTGGTTTCTGTCTATTGTGATAGCTTAAAAAACAACAACAACAACAATCCAAGCCCAGAACCGCTTGCAGGAGTTGTTTCCAGGACACCCCTTACCTCTGGGTTGTGGTTATTGGCTCTGTACTTAATCAAGAAGCAATTCTGGAATCATCCAAATAGGAGTGAAGATCTTTGAGACACCTGTGGTCCTTCCTTGGGCAACGGGAATATTATGACAATGGGAACCATTGACACTTCCCCAGAAAATCTCATGCTGGGAGAAGGAAAAGGCTGGTACATGGTGCCAGTCAGAGAGGACCTTGTCTCCCACAAAGAGACGTCACAGTTCTGACCACTTCTCAGACAATCTTGAAGGAAAGGCTATCAGTGATGGGTCATTGCTGGGTAGGACCACATGCTGGCCAGGACTTGTACACCTATGCACACCTGTGCCCTCCTCTGCTTAAACATAAGCATCGTGTCAGGGCCCTGAAGATAGGCTTCAGGGGAAGAAGGGAGGTGTTCCTCTTCCCAATGCAGCCATACTGGATAATAAATCCCATTTCTCTGCTTCCCGCCATTACTTATCTGTTCAGTTGGCCCACTGAGAACAGGACACTGAGCCTGGGTTAGGGCTGCCAGGACCCAGCTCTGACCCTAATAATGCTGCTAACAGCCTCATGTCTGGTCAATTGTCCCTGAGCGTCTCTATTCACTCCATAAACTGCTCTGGTCAGCCAGCATGGGGAGCCAGAGAGCTTTCTAGGGTCAGGCTTTTAAGGGGCTGATACCTACCTAATAAGCGTTTCATACATAAAATAAAATAAATGGAAGGGAGATGAACTAAGACATAGCTCAAGACATTCACAGAACTGAATAGGGGACTCTTTGCCTCCAAGGATCCACTGAGTAACAAGCAAGATAATGACTCACACGAAGACTTAAGTCTTGAGGCCTTGTGGAGTAAGATTACTAACAGGAATACACACTACAAGAGAAATACAAAGGCAGATCGCCTAGAAGCCTAAGAAAAAGATTGGTAAGTGGCCAATCACACCTTATCTGGAAGGCTTGAGATCAGAAGTGTTTCATATTCCAGTGGTTTAGATTTCAGAACCCTTCAGATTAGAGATTCCCAACCCGCACTAAGATTGTTACAGTGATCTCAGAGTCCTGATTAAATAATTTGGAACTTCATAATACTGGCTTCCCCAGGCGTGGTGATGCACACCTGTAATGCCAACTTGGGAAATAGAAGCAAAGGGTCAGAACTTCAAGCTCATCCTCACCTAAAAGCCAATTCAAGGCTAGCCTGGGCTATGTAGATCCTGTCTCAAAGAAACCAAGACAAGCAAAACTTTTAAAATTAAACAATATCAAATCACATTGACAGAATACTTGGGCTGTGCCTGGCAGTTCCTAACACTCTCCTCACAGCAACAGGACAAGGTAAGCATCATTATTTCCCACATTTTACAAACCATCCCTGCCTCCCAAGCTAATTGCTGAATCCAGATAAAATGAATTAAAAAGAGCATCCTGAAGGTGGCAAAGAACTAATGACACAAAGAAAAGCTCCCAGAGCAAGATCCCAAGGAAACTGGAAACCCCTGGGGCTGGATCTGCTCTGACAGTCATGTGGCTCGGGCCTGAGCAGTACCTATTAAGGGAAGGGTGGGCCCTGTGTCTGGGCTTGAAGCCCTGACGGGCTGCAGGTAGGATTTAAAGATGGCCCAGCATTGGCCAGCCTTCAGGTCAGAGAGGGTTTGTAGGAGCCTCAACCTCTGAAATTGCCCTAGACTGCTTGTGAAGCCTCAGTGTCTAACAAGAGCGGAAGAAAGTCTCATATGAAGATAGACAGCAGTAGGTCAGACCTCATGAGAATCACAGACCAACATCAAAGACAAGCAGACAGAATCAGGGGAACAACAGACCACTGCCAATTGCCCATTGCCAGCGTGTATTTAGCCTTCTAGAAACCAAAGGGTAACACTGTAATGGAGTACTGGGGCCTGTGACACCTTTGTGCAAAAGACATGTATACCCTACACAACCACACTACAAAAGCATCGTCTCAGGAAAATGGCCATTCCTAGGACCTTCTAAGACCAGAGAGACTTTGTGTAATAAGGTCACCTTTCCTCACCCGGTGTTTCCTTCCCCGCCCCCATACCTAGTATAGACAGCACCCTCAGAAGACCCAAACCCTACCCCCTTATGTAGCCTCAAAAGCTTCTCTGTAAGCTTCAGTTACCCTCTTCCTCCTTCAAGTCTCATGGTGTGTGGACTTCCACACCTACGGACATAGGCAAAGACTGCTTTTCTCCTGCCTATCCGCAGACTGCAGGGAGGTGGAAGGAAGCCGCCTTTTCCTCCCTCAGAGCAGTGAAAGGTCAATGTCACTAACTGCCCAAGGAACTAGGGGTGTGGAAAAACTACTAATTGACAGAAAAACAGCCTAAGGTAATTGATTGCACTTGCATGATGCAAAGGTCCAAGCCAAAACCTGTTTAAAGTGAACGGTGCTTAGGCAGTCACAAACGAGGATCCGCAGAGGGTGTAAGAAGCTGGAGCCATCTCACATAGTACGTTACTGTATGGGATCAATCCCTTTAAGTCCGTTTATCTCAAGGTGGGTGTGACTTGACTTGGCCTCTGTTTCTGAAACATTAGTGCACGCCTCAGGGAGGACTCACAGCTGCCAATCCAGACACGTCTCACTAATGCCCCTCTGTGCAGTTAGGTCTGCCCGGAGCTGAGAGAATCGTAGCATACCTGGGTGAGCCGACTCCTGAGAGATGGCAGAATTCCCATTCAGGGCCACATTTACCTTCACGTTGGCATGTACTTGCGCCTAGAAAAGCAAGTGAAACTCAAAGTAGGTCCGGGTGTCCGAGGGTACCACTACTAAACATGACACCCGGCTTAGGGGGTCCCTTAACTGACCCCCTAAGCGGAAACCAACTTAGGTCGCTGAGAATCCCCCCTCTTCATCTTCTTATTTCAGCTGCCCTATCTACTCCCTATTTCCAGATCTCACACTGAGCCTGGAAAGGTGAAGAGAAAGAAGTATACAGTGTCTTAGACACACACACACACACACACACACACACACACACACACACACACACAGTACTAGGATGAACCTGGAGAAAATCTCTTAAGTTCCAATTCTTCTAGAAATGGTCTTTTCACAAGAGACCAGAAATGGAGCCCTGTTTTTCAGGTCACTGAGCAAACAAAGGGGAATGAACAGTGTCAGGGTCATGCAGCCCTTCACCTCAAAATCCAATTAAAACAAAGCAAACCCAATAATAACAAACAAACAAAAACATAAAAATAGCATAAGGAGAAAAAAAAAAAAACACCTCCCCAAATGAGAGAATGCACGCCACGCCACATCCGGTCTTGTTGGTGTCTGCAGAAAGACTGGCGAGGACGGTTACCTGTTGACTGGCGAATTTCCAATTGAGCCGAGCAATAAAAGCCAGAAAGCACACGGCCTGGCAGGCAGTGCAGATGATGATCCCTGACCACAGACCTGCATGGGGAGATGTTGGACAGGTTAGCTCACGGAGACAATGGCCACGCTAAGTCAGCTTCCATGGGCAAGGCAGAGGCCACAGTAGGCTGGAGACCTCCACCCTGCAGAGGCCCAGCACCCCGGAAGGCCCCTGCCATGATTCACAGTGTCAGAACCAAAGGTCCAGGAAGCCATGTGGGCCCTTTCTTGCTTATGGTGATTGGATAGTAAGAAAAGGGGGCCAGTTGTAAGGAAATATTTTCTCCAGTAAAACTGCTGTTCGATGCTCCTCAACAGAGGGGACTGACTTTATTTTTTTACATAGGTATGTATGTGACCTACGCCTACGTGTTCATGTGTTTGCATGTGTGTGGACACGCTGAGAGGGTGAACATGCATGTGTGGAAGCTTGATTGCTCTCCACTTATATAGAGAAGCAGGTTGAGGCAGTGTCTCTCTCCACTTATAGATTGAGGCAGAGTCTCTCTCCACTTATAT